TGGGCCTGAGTTAGTTCAGCAAACTGCAGATAAAATCGGAGTAGTACGAGAATGAATGAAGGCCGCACAAGATAGACAAAGAAGTTATGCAGATAAAYGTCGGAAGCCGAYTGAATTTCAAGTGGRTGATAGARTAATGTTAAAGGTATCGCCATGGAAAGGAATGRTACGTTTTGGTAAAAAGGGAAAGTTAAGTCCAAGGTACATTGGACCATTCCATATTATTGAAAGGATTGGGGAAGTGGCCTACAAATTAGAAGTTCTTTTGGAATTAAGTGGAATTCATGACACGTTTCATGTATCAAATTTGAGGAAGTGTCTAATAAGTCCAGATGTGGCAGTACCATTACCTGAGATTAAGGTAGATGAAAGATTATGCTTTGAAGAAACCCCTGAACATATTACTGATTACAAAGTAAAGAAGTTACGAAACAAAGAGATTGGGTTAGTAGAGATTCAATGGCGTTATCATAAGGGACCAGATGCCACCTGGGAATCAGAATCGGAAATGCGGATGAAATATCCTTATCTGTTTACTTAATGGAATTCCGGGACGAAATTCTTTTAAGGAGGGAATGTTGTAATATCCGGGTTATTTTATTTGGAATATTTTAAATCTTATGTTTATATTAATATTATATATATATATATATATATAGTGTTATGTGTGAAAGTAGAGTTGGGGAAGAGGCGGTTCCATATGAAAGGAATGGTAATAGTTATTTGTTGAATATTCTGGGAAGCAAAATCAATTGAGAGTAAAGACTGAAGGAGGATTTGCAGATTTGAAGTCAAAACTCACAATCAAAGGTGAGTGTATTAAAGCTTTGAGTATAGTTGTTTGCATACAATTCAGTAGTTATTAGAACTGGTTATTTATGGTTTATAGTTCATATTGTGTGTATATTTCCTTAAACCGTCCATGTATTGACCGGATTGATATCCAGACAGTTTCATCCGGATTATAAACCGCTCAAGTATTGTCCGGAGTTCTCCCTAAACCGGTCAAGAGGTGACCGGATCTCGTCTAAACCGTTCAAGAGTTGGGCGGTGTATTGACCGGATTGTTTTAAACCGGTCAAAGGTTGGGCAATGTATTGTTCGGATTACTTTAAATTGGTTAAGTTGTGAGCGGGGTATTGTCCGGACTTGTAATCCGGACGAAGATATTGACTCAATTCTAAGTGTTAACCGGACAAAGCTTATACAAGGTGTTATCCGGAGATGATATAACCCTTTTGATATTCCAAGTGTTTGTCCGAATTCTATATCCGGACAAGGCTGACCGGACTTCAAATCCGGTTAATATGTTGAATCATTTTAGAAATATAATGGCGAGAGAGATGTAAAGGCAGTGTAACCGCGAGAGAGATGTAATGGCGGTGT